TTCTGATGGAGCTACCAAAGCACTAAAGTTTTAAGGTGTTTTYTTATACTACTGTTTTTGCAATAAAAAATTAATTAAAATGAAAAAATAAAAATTCATTTATATAGTTTAAGACTCAATTTAACAAACCCAACAACTTTTATATCGATATCTTTTATAGTTTTCTTGGAAAAAATTCGCGAAAATAGCCTTTTTTTAGGTGCTCAGAGTAGAAGGTCCCCTTAATAAGAGATCCGCGGTCCGAAACTTGAAAACAATGTGACATTGAAAGGTCTGATTTTTTACTTTCTCTAATATTTTTGGAGGAGATCTTCCCTTTTTTTTAGTCTATGGCTCGGAAATGTTCTCACAATCAAATTAAATTTGGTAATTCATATTTATAAATAAACGTGACACTATTGATCTAGAGTCAATTTTAAAATATAATATAAACAAATAAATAAATAAATGTCTCATACTCTAATAATTTATTTTTTAAATAAATTATATGATATATTGTTTTTATTTTGCTATTATTTCCATAGAAAATAAAAAGAAGAAAGAAAGAAGTAAGAAATCAAGGTTACCAAGAAGGAATCGAATCTTTAAGTAATTTAATAGATCTTTTTCATTTAGGATTCCTCTCGTAAATTTAATTTTATAGTAAGAAGAAGAGTCGCGCGCGGAAATGCGCATATTTATCTCCTTGATAGAAATAAATAGAGAAAAGAGGCTGAGACGGTGAAAGAATGTGGCTTCTATCGAAACAGATGGTTTCTTTCAAGGAGTCCAGTACAGTTCGCTTCTTTGCCTTTAGCGCAAGATTAGCAAAAGGGTATAGGTCAAAGAAGAAAACGTGCCGATGTCATTCACCTACTCGACTTTACCATACGAAAGAAAAAGAGAGGGAGAGACCATACCTCTTTACTCGTAATCGTGCGAAACGTGCCGTGAGATCATGTTCGTTCAATTTTTATCAAAGAGGAAGGTGAGCAAGTAAGAATCAAAAACAAATAGGATTTAAGTATTAATGAATAGAAAAAAAATGATGCTTCTGTACTTTTCGCACGTCCTTAACAAAGAGAGACATATATGTATTTGTAGATGTGTTCATGCATACTTTATTCACGCACGCTTGCATTCATATAACTTTGCGAATACGTACACATTATCTATCTTTTTATCTTTCTTTTATTTCAATTACGATAATACCTTTACCCTCGTTCTTAATTCTACTTCATAAGATTATAATAACATTAGAAGGAAAAAAGAAAAATAAGAATAGAAATTGCAAAGAAAGAAAAATATATCATCGAATAAATTTCAACATCGCGCCTAAGTAACTCGAAAATTGAATATAGCGCGCGAACGTAACTCGAAATTTGAATTTATTACCACGTAATCGATAAGTAAAGTCTGTCGAAAAGAAATATCGTGAATTATAAAAACAATTAACTGATTAATCGAGACAAAATAAATCTGAATATACATAAAGAAAAACTAAAATGAAACAAAGTGAGAGTAAAAGAGAGAAAATTAAACTCACAGATTTAATATCAAATTAATGCATTGTAAAAATATGTAAGATTTAACGAAAAGTTATTTTTTCTTTTTAATTATATTTCATTTTTGATTGACATTATCACGCCTTCAAAGAATTTTATCGTTTACGCCCCCGTCCAAGTCTGGAGATATACGTGAACATGCAGTAGGGAAACCGGTAACGGTCAGTACGGACACGCGCCGTCGGTCTTATGATAATGAGCATCGTTTTTATGCGAGCTCACAGAACACGTCTATGCGTGTATTTATACGTACATATATATGTACTTTATTCCTCTTATTAGTATTTACTTACTTTCTCTCTTGATGAAGTTATATCACTTATCTGCCGGTCAGGGAAACAATATATACTTTTTTTATAACATTATCAAAGCTTTCAACTTTTATCAAAACGTTAACGAGCGTTACGAATTATCAGTGAAAATAAGTAGACTTATTTCCACAAACTCTCAAGAATCGTTAAGATTCCAATCCTAGGAGACATTAATAATTTATACTATTATACTATTTGCTTTTGCTTTCATCAAATATGACGTATATTTCTATTTAACAATTGAACACGATACTAAAGTATATTCTATATTTTGTATATTATTCGTTGTCACGAAGTTGTTACGAAATTTTTGTTGAGAAATCGTCTATCGAATTATTTTATTTTCATTTTGATCGATTCAAAATTTTTCATATATAATAGATGTCCCAAAAATTGCTTTAATAAATTAAAAAATTATAAATTATTTTGTTAGCAAGTACTTGAAGTAGTCACATCATGAATCCATATTTCTTTAATGAAACTCTGACTAAAAATTCATATCTTGAAATAAAAAACAAAATATAGTAATTCTATTTAATAAATTAATATTGATTTTTGATTTCATTTTTCTTTTCTCACTAAAGCAACTTTTAGACACACATGTATTCAATTTTATAAAATTTTTATGACTAATATTATATAATTAATATCATAGAAAATAAAGTTAAATTAAATGGAAGATCCGATAATTAAGTATACTTTTAATTAGCTTGAAGATAATCTATATTTGATGAAAATTTTATCGAATAAGGGCGTAGCTAGAGATTAAATATTCCTAGTTACTATGAATCGATCATTCACTGATAATAAACTTATGAATATTTTGTAAATTGATAACTTTTACGTAAAGCTTCTTATTCTCTGAAGAAAATGATTCTAATTCGTACAAAATTGCGGAAGGATACGCACGGGAAAACGTGTAAACCATATAAGAGAAGAGTCTAACTCTCACCAAGAATACTTTAGAATTATGAGCTTAAACGGATAGTCTACTTCTCAAGTTTACTTCTTAACATCTAATTAATCATTTCATTTAATGGTTCCAATTTAATCCAAAAATATCAAATCATTTTATGAATTTCTTATAAAAATAAGTTCTTATTAACGTATATTCTTTTCTTTTTTATTTTTCATAAAATTAGAAATATGAAATATTTCAATAATAAGAAAATAAAAAGTAACTTTATTTAAACTTAAATGACCTTAATCAAATGACCGTGATCTCGTTAATAAATTTGTTGTTATCTTCTTATGCTAAACCTACAATTCTTAATCGTAAACCACGTTCTGGTGTATGTAACTATTTGATAAGTATAGATATACTAATAAATATGAATGATATATAACTTATAAACAAACATAATAGTCTAATTGTAAGATAAATTTAATATTGTATTGATGCGTACAATAACAAATCTTACAACACGATTAATGTCTTGTAAATTTATATTCCAATATTCTGCTGAACTAAATTTCTATTGTCGCAGAAAATAATAAGAAATATATTAAAACTTAAAGATTAAATTAACCGATAAAAGTTGTTAACATACTCTAATCAATCCTTTCCTGGCTTTATAAAAATTATTACAAAAAACTATTAAGTGAATAATCTAATACATTATAAAATATAACACAATAATATGTGTAACCAGACATCTATGCATCATACTAAGAACGATGATTCATTCTTGTTAGCCTCAAACAAATTCTAAGAAAAAACTAAAGGCAACACACCTTCCCTATCTACATTCATGCCTTACATTCTTTCAAATTCAAGTTGTAACGATTAACAAACCTTGCTCCTAATTAGTATTTCAAAAAATCTGTATTTAATAAGAGCGAACATAGTTCTCTTACATTAAATGCGTCGCATCCAAAAATAAATCAATGTTTTCTAACAAACGACTAAAACAATTTCCCAATAATCTAATCAAAAATCACCAATAACTTTCAACATTACATCAAATACATCATATTCTTTTATAAACGTATGGTGGCTGAGTAAAGTCGAGGATGGAAAAAAATCAATGTTCCCAGAGTAAAATCAATAAATCATGTAGTACATTGATGGTACAGCTATCGCCATAAAAACGAGCTAAAAACAGATTTCTTATCATAATTAAATAAAAAATCTTCTTCGCCATGAAACGGTTTTTTTTTAATTGTGAGAGAAACATGAACGAAATTTCGTCGTGTTGTACGTACTCAAAATCGAATGACCTCACTACGACGTGCGGCGCATCGACGTGAGCGCGAGCATTCTCCCCCTCTCCACCACCTACTTTTCTCTCTCACTCTCTCCTAACTCTTTCTTTCTCTTACTCGTTACTCGTTACTCGTTACTCGTTACTCGCTCTCGCTCTCGCTCTCGCTCTCGCTCTTTCTCTTTCTCTCTGTCTTTTTTTGAGAATAACTGGTCTCACTGCATTCTCGTCTTCTACGCTACTCTCTTTGCTTTTGAAGAAGCGAAAAGACATAAAAAAGAACAATAAAATACGCAAATTTTGAATCGTTTAAATATCAAATAGAAAGAGTCGGAAAGAGACGTGTTCGAATCGTGCCGAATCGTGCCGAATCGATAGAGTTGAACCGACTCGAGATCTGAGTCGATGTAACCCAGGAGAAACGATTTTTGTTTTTAAAAAAGGATATTAAATTTGTGGGAGAAGAAACATCGGGAAATAGTATAAACTAAAATGAAAAAAAAACTTACAATCAAGATGCTTTTTCTTTGGTCCTATCATCTCCTCAGTGGTAGCTTTGCAGACGGATTTGGCGAGCCCTTGGCCAGCGATGCTGTGTCTGGCAGCCAGTAGTCTATCGTTTATCGTTTGTCCCGCCATACTGTCGTCCTTCCTGTCACTTTCTTTCTTTCTTTTTACCTTTGCTTTCCTTCCTTCCTGTCTGTCTTCTTCCCCTACGTCGATGATTCTTCAAAACCGAATGGATTTGTCAGCAAGTGTGAGGTTCGTCCTTTCCTTCTGTGGTTACTCTCTCTCAAACAGCATGTATCATTCTCGCAGCGCACTGCCACTATCGAGGTGTCCGATTCCGTGTATATGTATATGTATATGTATATGTATATGATATGATATGATATGAATGAGATATATATATATAATATGTATATGTTGTGTATGATGGATGTATGTATGATGATTAAAAGAGTGCTTTCTAGGTAATATGACGCGTATGTGTGTGCGTGTGTGTATGTATTCACGTACGTAAATTTGGAAAGAAACGTAAAGAATGAAAAAAAGGAGAAAGAGAAAGTAAGAACCAAAGATAAAAGAAGAAAGAGAAAAAAGGAGAGGGAGACAACACGAATACACGAGCAATAAAAATTACGGTGATTAAAGAAAGAAAAAAAATCTAAAATTCCGAAATTAGAAGCACCCAAATAAAATGTCTCCCCCCACACGATAAGTTTTAAACGTTGATTAACTAACTGTCTTTAAGCGACAATTGTACTTTTCTCTCTCCTCACCTAAATTTCCTCTTTCAACTCTTTATCGATCTCGTTTTTGATCACCTACCGGAGCCGTACGAGCTCGCGCTCGCGTTTAACACGCTCGCCAGGCTAATACGGCTCAGCTTTTAACCCGACGACAAAAACGACGAAAACGACACACAATCACGACAAGAACGACGACGACAACGGCTCGGCTTCGCACCGGCGACGAAAGGCTATCGCGAATTGCTTTAAGATGGCGACCTTACTATTCTATGCCCCCCTCCCCAACACTTCATACCGCCCACTGACTAACCAATCGCGTTACGCTACTGATCGACGCTCCCTCCTCGTACATCGACCACTGATCGTTCTACCGTCCAATGACGTTTAGATATGGTCATGTGATCACTAATCACCTGACGCATCTTCCCCCGTCCATGGCGCGAAAATAGTAATCTTTTAAATGTATTTTAAATCTCATTTGTTTTTCTTGTTTCCTTTAAACTTTACATAAAGAAATCTTTGTCTCTTTAGCTTTTTAATAATTTTTAAAATTATTTACACGTATAAATATTAAACAAATACAAAATATGTTATAATTATAAATTATTTCACATTCAATTTGTATTATTATTTATTGTAGCAATATCTTCTTTCGGAATTGTATATATGTATAAAAATACACAAATCAATTTTTTTAAAAATTATGTGTTATCATTAGATACTTCTTTTTTTTGTTATATATTATATTATATACATATAATTATTTATTATATGTGTTAACGTTTTACAATTTTCACCTATCACTTCTAATTAATAAATTCTTAAACATTTCTTTCCACTTATCTTTGACAAGTACCGTGTTATGCTGGAACACAAGAAATTAAATATTAAATATTAATGTATTTGTTATTTGCAATATTTAATATAAGAAAATATTGTAACCTGTAATATATGGACTCCTCTTTGTGTAAGAACAATAAGTTCTTTCATTCCATCGTTAGTTATATCCATGTAGGTTATAGAATGCACAGGTGCATCGAATAATTTTCGTACGGATAATTCCCATGTGTCACCAGATAATGCAAAAATTAAAACTTCCTGTCCATATGTACCTAAGAGTATTTCATTTTGACCATCCATGTTTATATCTGCAACACATGTACACAATATACAATCTGATAAATCGCTGCAATTTAATATCATATCTTTTTCCATTCCGCAATGTAAAATATCCCTGTAAATAAAAAATTACATTACTAAGAACATTGAGATTACAATTTATTTAATAATAAATTTTCTTACATAAAGACAATAGCGTTACTTGTATTACTAATCAGAATATTCAATATTGGGTCCTCATCAGAGAATAATTCTTTAGCTGTTAAAAAGAAACAATTTCATTTAAATTTAATCTATACATGTTATAATAGAACCTGTGATTTGATTTAATTATAGAATAGACCTACATTTACATTCATAATTTAATGACGATGGTGGAGGTATATTATTTCTATGAGGAAATATATGTATGCTTGAAATTGGCTTATCATATCTCAATGACCAATTTCTAACCATTTGTATTTCTAAGACGTCAACTAAAGATATTTTGACTAGACCACACTCGCATCCAATTGCACTGAGTCGCCTAAAAAAATATTAAGATAACATACAATTTGTAAATTTTGTTCGTAACAATTTATAATAATTATTATATGAATTACCATTTATAGTTATCAAAATAATAAACGCTTATCCATAAGCAAATAGCTTGAATATTATGCAATTCAGGAAAATATTTCTCAATGGATGGTTCAATGTAACCGTGAGTTAATTTATCTTCCATAATCATATGAATCTTGTAATCGCTTCCAGAAATTAACCAAATCACCTGTAAGACGAACACTAAATTAAAAGAGTAAAAATATATTTTTGTATATTTTGTGATAATTCATAAAACATAGAAACCTCATTGCCAGAAGGTTGATGTGGTAATATTGTATGATATAAATGATATGGAGTATACGATAGCTCAACCATAAGACAATTTTGAGCGATAGTTTCAATTGTACTATTTTCATCGCTTTCTCCATCAACAACACCTTCAGAATAAATATTCAAATATCTTTCAATAGATGTATTCGTGCTCGTTTTAATAATAGTTATTCCAATTACAAATCCATCGCCCACATCCATTTTATTATAAGCATCAATGGCAATAATCTCAGCCCCATCTAACAAAAATTATAGAAAGATTTTTATATGAGTATAAGATTTTGAAAAAAATAGTATTATACGATATACATAATAGTATAAATTGTATATATATTTAATATATATTATATATATATATATAGTATATATTATATACATAAAGTAACAAACTGGGAATATACGTGAAGAGTAATTCCTTGACTACTGGCCTCAAATTCCATTTTGGCGTAATATGATATTCACACGAGTATATCTTTCTTTTTAAAGATGCTACCAAAACTTTGTTAACTCCACTGAGTGAACATAACTGTGTCATTGAGTAAATATTGCTTTGGGAAGCCAATGGAAACCAATGTGCATCAATTAAATTACTCATTACAATAATATATACACTTTGACAATGAACAACAATTATCCTATGATTACCACACTTTTATATAATTCTAGAAATATATTTATATACTTTTGCTTTGGAATGTTTTACGATTTACTTTATTTGACATTCTGGGATAATACGAAAACAATACCAAAGAATACAGAAGTATATAGAACCTTACAAGTTAACTTTTTTCCTAACTAGATTTATTTTAGTTACTACCGGGACCACAAGTGGGCGATAGTAAATACTTAATTGTAGAGGGTTTCTCTACAGTAAAGATAATATTAGACTGAATTTGTTTTATGTTCTTTATTGTTAGGATGCGATTTGCTTTTCTTTCTTGTACAATTCTCAACGGCTACGCACAGACTGTACTCGTCTAGTGACCACACTTGCTAGCGTGGTTCCCTAGCCTTCTAGTAACTTAGATGGCGCGACCATCGGTCGTACCGCTACATTACTCCCTTCGGAGCATTTTTCTTATTACATAAAATGCGAAACTTAAATTTATAGATGTTTACAAGTATATAAAAATATATAAAGATATATAAAAATATTGAACTATCTCTATCTTAACTTAATAAGTTGTAATTGGTACATACGAATCGGTATTGCAATCTTTTTCGACGAACGCTGATTTTAGTCTTTCTATAGATACATTTATATGTTTTCCTTTATAGTTAATTTTGAAAATATTATCTGTAA